AATGATATAAAACTTCTATTGCTGTGTATGGCTTACAGACTTGGGTTTTTTGCTTATTTTTTCCTTCTGCTATTGGGGTTCGTTCCGCTTCACTAACAGTTTGTTTTTGCTCTCAGTTGTGTCTAGCATGCCGTAAACCTGGATGTCCACAGTTGCATGAAATGATCAAAATGTCCATTATGAAACTGCTCACTGCCCTGTGTCTTCGTGCGCTCCCTGGTGACCAGGGGCCTGTGGCTTTTCACAAGGTATTGGACTTGGTCCTTTGAGCCTCTGGTCCAAGACTGAGGCTTTTTAAGAGTCATTTCCATACTACGAAAGCAAAGGGCATGGGACGTAGAAGTGACATTGGAGACACAAAAAGAAGAAATTGATGAGCCGTTTGCCAGAAACTCAGCCTGCATTTGGACTTGGTACTCTCTTGGTTCTCTGATTCAAAGTGCTCATTTCAGCACTACCCCATGGTAGAAAAAGAAAAACATTCACAAGTGAACACTCATTGTCCTTTTAACACAGCGGTCAGGTTTATCAGGAAACCCTAGTTCCACGAACCTTACCATTTTACCAGTTCATTATTATAGCAAGTGGAAGAAACTTTTTCTAGAAGGTATCAGGATAGCTGGAAGCATTTCTTCCTGGTCATCTAGAGATAGCAAGATTATCATGCACATGCTCATTTTTACATTTAAAAAGATCCCCCTTTGTCACACGCAGTAGTATTTATTCTCCCAGCTTGGGCGGAATGAGCTGCTTCCATTAATTCTTTTTAAAAAAGCAGAGTAAACATGCTTACCTTTTTTGCCCCTTAATAAAATGCCTCCTGCAGTAAGTCATTTCCACTGTTATGCCTCTAAACACTGAAAACGTTGATGACATTATTAAAAGCTGAAGAAATACATCTGGTATTTGGGAAGTTGTCTGTATGCAGCACTGTTTATGTTACTTAAAATCCAGGTCCTCATGTGTGCTTTCTTTCATGGATCTAAAGTGACCAATATAATTTTTTAAGGAAGGTTTTATAGCAGGTATGGCTGTTAGTATTCAGTAGAAGTGTGTTTATATTAATATAAAGTATGTAGTTTAGCTCTCAAAATAGCTACTCTTTCATCTTTAATGCTTCTGAGACTTCAGATTTCTCCTGAAATTTAAGCTTAGCAATCTACAAGGTCAACAGTTATCAAGATTTCTTGGGAAAATGTAAGATTTAAAGAAATTTGAATTCTGCCGTATAAATAGTTCTAGAGTGCTTAATTACACTGTAGAGAATTTGGTTTCATCAAAGTGAACCAGCGCACTCATTTAGATGTATTTTCAAGGCTTTTAAACCATTTTATCACATGCAAAAATAAAGGCCTTTCAGGATTAAAACACCTTTTTTCTAAGTATATATAAATAGTACCTTCAAGTGCATTACAATCCATGATCATCTGAGAAAATGAGTTTGAAGTTAACATGCCCTAAATGGTAGCTTGAAAAATAAATATTTTGGAACTTGCTCTTACTTTTTTCACTTAAGACAAATAAACCCAAGCCAACTTCCAAATACACTTTTGAGTTTTAAATGCTCATTTGGAATATTAAGCATTCAATAGGAGATAAATTAAACTGTCAGGAAATATTTACTTTTACCTAGTTAATTTTACCAAAAAGGTGATTATAAAGAGAGGTCTGGCAGAAAACTCTAGCTTAAGCATTAGCAGCAACAAAGGTGAACATTTAGTCTCTCTCCCACCTCAGTTATCACTCATCAAATTAAATTTGCCATTTAGGTGAGGACCCCGTATTCTCAATGTATATAGCCTTGGAGCTAATCCTAGAAAAATCGTTCCGGTATACTGCATCCCTTCCTTTTCTTTTGGAAGGTCTGAATATGCTTGGTGACATGGGGAGGATAACATACCTCATGGAGAGAGAAAAGTGGGCCCGTTCAAAGTATGCATTTATTGCCATGCCCATCCCTATACCTTTCAGAGAAGTTAGAGGCAGTAAAACCTGAAGTCATGACATTGAGTGTCACCATCTTCAAATGACGGATTTTTTTTCCCCCCCAAAATTGGGATTTCTCCATGCTGTAGCCATCAGGAGCCTCCTCAGGTTCCACTGGACATTCCGACTCAAAAGACCCAAATAGGCCATAACTGGCGTTATATTCCCTCCACAGGATATAGGACNTCAGGAAACCCTAGTTCCACGAACCTTACCATTTTACCAGTTCATTATTATAGCAAGTGGAAGAAACTTTTCTCTAGAAGGTATCAGGATAGCTGGAAGCATTTCTTCCTGGTCATCTAGAGATAGCAAGATTATCATGCACATGCTCATTTTTACATTTAAAAAGATCCCCCTTTGTCACACGCAGTAGTATTTATTCTCCCAGCTTGGGCGGAATGAGCTGCTTCCATTAATTCTTTTTAAAAAAGCAGAGTAAACATGCTTACCTTTTTTGCCCCTTAATAAAATGCCTCCTGCAGTAAGTCATTTCCACTGTTATGCCTCTAAACACTGAAAACGTTGATGACATTATTAAAAGCTGAAGAAATACATCTGGTATTTGGGAAGTTGTCTGTATGCAGCACTGTTTATGTTACTTAAAATCCAGGTCCTCATGTGTGCTTTCTTTCATGGATCTAAAGTGACCAATATAATTTTTTAAGGAAGGTTTTATAGCAGGTATGGCTGTTAGTATTCAGTAGAAGTGTGTTTATATTAATATAAAGTATGTAGTTTAGCTCTCAAAATAGCTACTCTTTCATCTTTAATGCTTCTGAGACTTCAGATTTCTCCTGAAATTTAAGCTTAGCAATCTACAAGGTCAACAGTTATCAAGATTTCTTGGGAAAATGTAAGATTTAAAGAAATTTGAATTCTGCCGTATAAATAGTTCTAGAGTGCTTAATTACACTGTAGAGAATTTGGTTTCATCAAAGTGAACCAGCGCACTCATTTAGATGTATTTTCAAGGCTTTTAAACCATTTTATCACATGCAAAAATAAAGGCCTTTCAGGATTAAAACACCTTTTTTCTAAGTATATATAAATAGTACCTTCAAGTGCATTACAATCCATGATCATCTGAGAAAATGAGTTTGAAGTTAACATGCCCTAAATGGTAGCTTGAAAAATAAATATTTTGGAACTTGCTCTTACTTTTTTCACTTAAGACAAATAAACCCAAGCCAACTTCCAAATACACTTTTGAGTTTTAAATGCTCATTTGGAATATTAAGCATTCAATAGGAGATAAATTAAACTGTCAGGAAATATTTACTTTTACCTAGTTAATTTTACCAAAAAGGTGATTATAAAGAGAGGTCTGGCAGAAAACTCTAGCTTAAGCATTAGCAGCAACAAAGGTGAACATTTAGTCTCTCTCCCACCTCAGTTATCACTCATCAAATTAAATTTGCCATTTAGGTGAGGACCCCGTATTCTCAATGTATATAGCCTTGGAGCTAATCCTAGAAAAATCGTTCCGGTATACTGCATCCCTTCCTTTTCTTTTGGAAGGTCTGAATATGCTTGGTGACATGGGGAGGATAACATACCTCATGGAGAGAGAAAAGTGGGCCCGTTCAAAGTATGCATTTATTGCCATGCCCATCCCTATACCTTTCAGAGAAGTTAGAGGCAGTAAAACCTGAAGTCATGACATTGAGTGTCACCATCTTCAAATGACGGATTTTTTTTCCCCCCCAAAATTGGGATTTCTCCATGCTGTAGCCATCAGGAGCCTCCTCAGGTTCCACTGGACATTCCGACTCAAAAGACCCAAATAGGCCATAACTGGCGTTATATTCCCTCCACAGGATATAGGACAGGGAACAGACACGGGTCAATGGCAGGCGTTTGTCCTTCACAGGTGTCCTCACACCAATACCGAGCACAGTCCCTAGCTCTCAGATGTCAGCTGAGGAGCAAGAAGAAGAGAGCACCTCGTGGGTGCAGGCACGTTGGCTTAGGAGCCCCATGTTTCAGCTACAGCTGACTCTTGAACAACGGGGGAGTTAGGGGCGTCATCCCCTCACGCAATAGAAAAGCCACGTGTAACTTTTGACTCTCCCGAAACTTAACTACTAATAGCCTACTATTGACTATAAGCCTCCCCAGTGGCATAAACAGTGGATTAACACATATTTTAATGTTATATGTATTATATACTATATTCTTACAATAAAGTAGGCTAGAAGAAAAATGTTGTTGATAAAAATCATAAGGAAGAGAAAGTAGATTTAAAGTACTATACTATATTTATCAATATCATAAGTTTAAAAACATTTACATGTAAGGGAACCCAGGCAGTTCAAACCTGTGTCATTTGGGATCGACTGTATGCAGGGACCGATGTCTCTGTACCCCCATGGGTGGCGCTTGCGGAGTTCCCTCAGAGGACATGATCAATGACAAGAGTCACTCGGGGACGCTCAAACCTGTGACTCCTTACTGGATTTTTACAGTTCCTTCACAGTTTTCCCAGTTCAGATACCGCTTAGTAATCGGGATGATTTACCACGAGCCATGCTGCCTAGTGACACAGCTGACGTCCACCCTTCTCAGGTTTCCAGGAGAGCACAGAGAGAGGTAATCCAAGGTCACGCTTCTTTACAGAGCAGAAGACAGGGTGTCACTAACCCTCTCTGCACACCTCATAACTCAGGAGTTAATAAATTCTTTCAGTTTTGTCACGAAAGGAGCCTTTCCTGGTTAATTTCCAGCCACCTGAGTTTGTTCTCAACAGAATTATTTGGCATATCTAAAAACCAATGACACAAAAGAGTAAGCTTCTAAGAGGGACACTCTCTAGGCAAATATTACTTTTCCTACATGCTAAAACATAAATGCCCAGAGATTTTAAATATCTGAAGGATCACTGGTAACTGGCTCTAAATCAGGCTGACTTTCGACTTGCGGGGGGTTTCACGCCCTCTCCGGGTAACCCCGGAGCCTGTTGGTAACACGCTGATCCGTGGAGTGCGTATGTTGCTCTCTTGTTTCTTTACCAGGTGTGCATTGAGACATACACCTGTAGCTGTCACCAGCGCAGCATAAACACTGCTGTGCGGGCAACTCTCAGTCAGATGCTGAGTGACTTGACCTTACAGTTGCGACAAAGGCAGGAGAATACGGTGAGCCTCGCGACATCCCCACGTTCACACGGCCGTGCCAGTGTCTGTGGAACTGCATGCGCGTGTCCCGCACCCCACCTGTCCCCCACCCGGCTGCCCCCGTCCCACCCGCCAGGGCCGCTCCTCACGGACAATAGGAAGGGCTGGCTTGGTTTGGAAGAGCGTTTATTTAT